ACTTAAAAAAAAAAAAAAAAAAAGAATCGATTGCTAGCAAGATCTTTTACATATTGAAGTAATCTTCCAAGATTATTTTATTATATCCTAATATCTCATGGGTTTTTAGGATGAACTAATTATTTCAAATGTAAAATAAAGAACACTGAAGTTAAAAGCAAGTGCTATGGACTGACTTGTGGCCCTCTAAATTCATATGTTGAAACTCTGACCCCCAATATGATTGTATTTGGAGATAAGGATGCTAGGAGGTAAACTGAGGTTCAATGAGGTCATAAGGGTAGGGTCCTAACCCGATGTGATTGGTGGCTTTATAAGAAGAGAAAGATGTGCCAAAGCGCTCTCTTTGCCAGGTGAAGATGCAGTGAGAAGGCAGTCACGGGAAGACAGGAAGAGATCTCAGGAACCGAATCAGCAGCACCTTGACCTTGGACTTCCCAGCCTCCACATCCATGAGAAAATAAGTTGCTATTGTTTAAGCCACCTAGCCTATAATATTTTGTTATGGCAGCATGAGCTAACTAATACAGAAGACCATTTCAAGAAATGCATATGCAAATACATATAGACAAAAGTTTAATGGCTGGTCAAACCCAGCCTCCTCCCTGTAATCATAATACTTTATTTTAAAAAAATAATCCATTTTCTTATCACTGCCTTACTTTCAGGCCAACATCATTTTCCCACAATTCATTGTCTTAAAAGCCTTTTTTGCCACTACCCTTTTTACCCTGACATCGACAAGTTTCTGTTCACCTCTTCTAGACTTATGCTTATGCATAAGCATTTCTTTCTCTAAGAAGCATCCAAGAGTTTCTCTTACATGCATCCTTGGCACTATTTACTCTTCTTATCACAGCACACTGGGAATTTTTGTATGGGCAGGGTCTATGTATGATGTAATTACTATGGTGTCTCTATGGCCTAACAGTGTGCCCGACACAAAGTTAATGTTCAGTAAATGCTTGTAGAATTAATTAATACATGTTACAGATCCCATCTGTACTCTGTCTGTACTTAGCTTTATTCAAAATGATTTAATCTCAAAATCAAGGGACTGATTTTTACAATGCTAGAATATTCAGCTTATAAAAGAGTTTAGTGTGTCTTTCTTGCCGATTTTAAAAATCCACTTATCAGGCTGGGTGTGGAGGCTCACACCCATAATCCCAGCACTTTTGGAGGCCAAGATGGGAGGACAGCTTGAGCTCAGGAGTTCAAGACCAGCTTAGGCAACACAGTGAGATGTTGTCTCTACAAAAAATAAAAAAATTAGTCGGATGTGGGGGCACAAGTAGTCCCAGCTACTCAGGAGACTGAGGCAGAGGATCACCTGAGGCCAAGAGTCGAGGCTGTAATGTGATGGTGCTACTACACTGCAGCTGGGGCAACACAGTGAGACTCTGATTCGAAGAAAAAGACCAGCTTGTAACAACAAAGCGAGACCACATTTCTATGAAAATATTAAAATTTTTTAAAGTTTTTGAAAAATAAACCTTGACTGGGCACGGTGGCTCAAGCCTGTCATCCTAGCACTTTGGGAGGCCAAGGTGAGGGGATTGCCTGAGCCCATGGGTTCAAGAACAGCCTGGGCAACTTGACGAGACCTCATGTTTACAATAAATCAAAAAAATTAGCCGGGCATGGTAGTGCACACCTGTCATTCTGGCTACTTGGAAGGCTGAGGCAGAAGGATCACCTGAGTCCAGCAGGTCAATGCTGGGGTGACCGTGAGCATGTGTGTCACTGCAGTCCAGCCTGGGTGACAGAGTGAGACTCCAACTCGATAAATAAATAAATAAAAACCTTACTTATCGACAAGATATTCTCAAAGATGGTTTTATAAAGACAAATTCATAGTCTAAGTATTTTATTTTGTTAAAAAATAATACATATAATTTAAAAATGTGTTATGTAGCTTTCAAGAAAAATGATTATAAACTTTATTTTTTAATAACCATGACAACTATTATGTTTGCACATAGCACTTGATAAAGGTGTGGCAATAAAATAAGGCAAGGTGTGTGTGTGTGTGTGTGTGTGTGTGTGTGTGTGTGTGTGTGTAGGTCCCACTTTGTTGACCAAGCTGGAGTACAGTGGCACAATCATGGCTCACAGAAGCCTCAGGCAATCCCTCCACCTCAGCCTCCTGAGTAGCTGGGACTACAAGCATGCACCACAATGTCTGGTTAATTTTATTTTTTGTAGAGACGAGGTCTCGCTATGTTGCCCAAGCTGGTCTCAAAGTACTGGGCTCAAGCAATCCTCCCACCTCTGCCTCGCAAAGTGCTGAGATTACAGGTATGAGCAACCACGCCCAGCCTAGTAAGGCAAATTCTTAAACATATACAATATAATATAATTTAAACAAACAAGTTAGTTTTGACCGTTTTAACAATACACTACATATTTATTCCAAAGTTACTGCCATTACTCGAAGGATTTTTGGAATGGCTAATGGGGAAATGCCTTCAGAACCAATTTTATAAACCCCAGGAGAAAATCGGTCTTGTTTCTCTATAACTGTCTCTATCTTACAAGTAGACTTGCCATTCTTCAGCTTGATAATTCATCTTCTTTGCCTCAAGATGTCTTCTGGTAGTGCAGAGGTTAAGAGCAAGAACTCTGGAGCCAGATGTCTGCATCTGAATTCTGGCTGCTTCGCTTTCTAGCTGCGTGACTTTGGGCAAGTTATTTACTATTCCTGAGCTTCAGTTTCCTCTCAACATAATGAGGAAAATGATAGCGTCTGACTCATAGAGTTGTGATAATACAGGTGAAACACAACAGTGCCTGGTACTTACTAAGCACTGTTCAAACACTTGCTAATGTTAGTAGTCATGGAGTTTTAAAGAATCTCAAAATTATTTTGTGCTTTTGTAGGTCACTGGATCAAGGTTATATTTTCAAATATGACTACTTTGAGAATGCAACTTGCATATAAAAGCTTGTTAAACTAAATCAACCATATACTACCTCTAGTTTACTTTTCAGTATCTGACATGAAGTAGGAGAATGCCATGTCCCTAGTCGAGCTCCTAGAATACAAACGGTAATGTTTTATGCATTAAATGTTTCATACACGAAAAGAGAAAAACATTATTTTGTCACTACTTGAATTTTCCCCATTTTGAAACATGAACTTATTTTAGGGGCATTCTAAAACTAAGACTTTTGGTCAATTTAAGTCCCCTGCCCTTTATCTAAGGGAATATAAATTCTCCATTATTTGAGCTTGACAGTTGCCCTTAAATGGCAGAGATAGAATTGCTAGAATGTTTGCTAACTTACTGGATTTGTTTTATTCCAGGCAAGGCTGCTCACATTGAGGCCTTTGGTCAGGTCACAGGAAAAAGACCAAAGTCGTTCCAAATTGGCTGGGATTGTTGATTGTTCTGCATGTATTTCTGTTTCTTCTTCCTCCTCCTTCCTAACTTCGTCCTCTGCCTCTTCATGCTTTTCACCTTCCAAAAAGTCTTCAGGCTCTTCAAGTTCTGGCTCTAAAAGTTAATCAAACAAAAAGACCATTGTCCTTGACATCTGAGGGCCCTGCCAAGCGCTCCAAACAGCATCTCCAGCTACCACTGACACTTGAAGCATCACTGGGTCTGCTGGGTCGGAAGGCTGAAGCAGCAGGGTACCTGGATGGGCAGCCTGGACCTGCTAAGGGCCTTTTATCACTCCGGCCCCCGTGCAGAGCTAGCAGCTCTTCTGGCTGCGCAGTGAATGGGCCAGTCTAGCACAATCCTCACAATCCTCCTGCCTCGCCCTCACAAAGTGCTGGCATTACAGGCATGAGTCACTCTGTCTGGCCCTTTTTGCCCATGTTTTAATCATGCTGCTTGTTTTCTTATTGTTAGGTTTTAAGAGTTATTTGTGTATTTTAGATAAGTTATTTATCAGATATGTCTTTTGCAAGTATTGTTTCCCAAGTATGTGATTTATCTTCTTACTCTCTCAACAATGTCTTTTGCAGAGCAAAAGTTCTTAATTTTAATGAAGTCCAGCTTATCAATTATTTCTCTCAATGGATCATGCCTTTGGTGTTATATTTTAAAAGCCATTGCAATATTTAAGGTCACCTATTGTTTCTCCTCTGTTATCTTCTAGAAGTTTTATAGTTTTGCATCTTACATTAAGGTATTCAATCTATTTAATTTTTATGAAGAGTATAAGGTGTCTGTCTAGATTCATTTTTTAACACTATTTGCTGAAAAAACTATCCTTCCCCCATTGAATTGCCCTTCTTCTTTTGTCAAAGACCAGTTGACTACATTTAGGTCACTCTATTTCTGGGCTCTCTCTTCTATTCTATATTTTTGTCTGTGATCTTGCCAATACCACACTTCCTTCATCACTGTAGCTTAACAATAAGTCACGAAGTCAGGTAGTATCAGTTCCCTGACTTTGTTCTTTTCCTTAATACTGTGTTGAATATTCTGAGTATGATAGCTTTTTAAAAGTCCTTCTCTTCTTTTTTCTACCATCACAGTCACCTTTTCATCTGTTTCTCTGGACTGATTTTTCTTGTAGTTATGGGTCACATTTTCCTGCTTATTCACATTACTAGTAATATTTTTGGGAGAGTGCTGGACTCATAAATGTTACAATGTTGAATGTCTGGATTGTGTTTTCTGCTTTTAAAAAGTGTTGAGATTTGTTGCAGCAAGTGGTTAACTTACTTTCAGATTAGCTTGAAATTTTTAAGGCTGTTTCTGAAGGGCTGTTGGGAGATACAGACTAGTCTTTACTCAAGGACTGTCTTGTCCTACTGTTGAGGTATCATCCTTCTAGATAGCTGCTGAACACCTCAGATGTACATCAGGGTCTGTCTCTCTGGCTATCTGAACTCAAATGTCACACTGCAAAAAAGATACCTGCACACACATGTTTATTGCAGCACTATTCACACTAGCAAAAACATGGAACCAACCGTGCTGCCCAAGTGCTGCCCAACAAAACTCGACTGGACAAAAGAAAATGTGGTACATATACATGATGGAATATTATGCAGCCATAAAGAAGGATAAACACATGGACTTCACGGTAACTTGGATGGGTTCAAAGTCTATCATACTCAAGGATCTATCACAGAAACAAAGAACTGAGTACCACTCATAAATGAATCCTGAACAATTAGCATAATACAATAAGAAAGGGATTGACAGGAGTGGGATACTGGGGGGGGGAGGGTGGCACATAACATCAACAAGGGTACCTGATCACAAACCAGGCAAAGTGGGGACCAAAGGAAGGTCCAAACCTTACCTCCTTACCTGTACGATATCCACTTGTACACCTAATCCTGAATTGTACTCCACATCTTTAAGATAAATAAATATATATATATATTTATATATATATATAAATAAAACAAGTAAATAAATAAAGAGGCAGACTGGAGAGCACTCGCTATAAAGAGTGTTACCAGGCTCCCCCAAGGGCTGGTGGACACAGTACACAGGTAACGGGGCGGATCAGAGGCTCTCAGCACGCCTCACCCATCAGAACACGGTGAAACAGGGTGGAGGGATCAACACGGGAAACTCCATTTCAAGAAGGAGAAGGGATGTGCATCCGAGGGGCAAAGGACCCCCGGGTCTCAGGGCGGAGAAGACAGCGAGCAGCCCCTGGACGGCGCCTGGGCGAAGAACAACGAGGAAAATGAGCGTGGCCCGGACGCCGGCGGGACTGGAGCCCCGAGCCGCGTCTTCCCAGCGGGGTCTGCTTGGCGCAGGCCCCGGAGCCATCCCGGGGGAGGCCGAGAGCCGGCGGGAAGGAAGGACCCAGGGCA